GTTAGCAATCTGGAGATAAGTCGTCGTGTGTTTGGGATTTTATCAGAGATTAACCCACTAGCACACCGAATTCAGATTAGTGGGCTTCGCTGGCTAGGGCAAGTATTGCGCATGTCCAGCCATCGTCTGCCGCACCGCGCTTCATTCGCTGTAGCTAATGCGGGCTGGAGGAAACCGCGTGGAAGTCAACAGATGACGTGGAGNAGACCCTATTGGACCACTTGCGTTGAATCTGATCGTGCATGAGTTTTGATGCAGTTCACTCTCCAGCTCACTGGTCGCAGAAAATTCCACCAAACTCGATTGGCAGATCATCGCATTTGGTGGCACAGTAATCAGCGTGCTTTGGACCCCCATGGTCCGAGGTTCGAGCCCCGCTACCGCCAGCCAACTTTGGTGTTAGGTAACTTTTCTGTCGTCCGGTTCAGTTCCATGCTTAACCTAGCTGGGCCTTACATGGTTCGCCACTCGAAATCCCGGGGCTTAAGTTACCGGTTTCTATCACTGAACAGCGGGTATTTTTGACTATGGGGTTCACCCTGTCTGCTGTTTATCGCACAAGTGTCTGATGAAATGCTGTTTTCCACTACCTGATTAAAATAATACCCATCGATTATACTAATCATTGTCGGGATTTTTTATCGATGAAAAATGTAACAGAACCTGGTGTTAACAGTACAGATGTTTGCAGCTGTTCTGTCCTCCCATGTTTTGTATATCTTTATTTATCATTTTTATACAATGTCTACTTCACATGGCACTTAAAATAGAAAATCTTGGAAAGCAAGCGATAATAGCTGTTGGGGTGATTGTTGGCCAGTTCATGGACCTCTCGTGTTTCATCAGGCCTCATCTCCTTGATAGCCCTTTCCGTAACCCAGTTTGACCACGTTCCCTCATTTACAACTGGATGCGAAAAGCAAGGCTAACTGCAGGCCTGTGCTACCACGAGTATCAATTCTCTCCAAGAGGACAAACGAAATGGCTTTGTTTGCACGAATGGTGTTTACCATTAGCCTTCACATGGATTAGGTTGAGCACAGACATCACTGTCCAAAAGTGTCTACCTCACTTTTATTTTCCAACAAGTGAATCGTAATTTTTCTTAGAATAAATTCCTACCATAGATTCACACCAAACTGTACGCAGCCTTTAGAATGCAAATCCTTATGAATCCTACCGTTCTTTAAATTAAACGTTTTCAGGACGGCAGCTATAATCACAAACGTATCGGGCACTTTTCATCGTTGTTTGTATATACAGGGGAAGTGAATAGGCCACATATTCCTATATAATTGCTGTGTTGTTGACTGGAAAGTTTCCCTTCTGTCGGGGCGTCTCGCCTGGTACCATACTTATTGTGTTGTTCACAGAGAATGCCTTTTGTAGTCAAATATCGTAAATTAATCCACATGGGTTTAACGTATTCAATTTCATTCCCCAACACAAGGGTTTACGACCGCTATATCGTCGATATCGAACCGTCAGTGAACCGAATGCAACCAGTGATACTGCTCAGGCGCCTTCATCAGACCCCAGCGGTGGTGGTGATGGAACACGTCAACGACAAGGTGGTCGCCGACCCAGAGGATTCCGTCGACGTGGCGGTGGCGGTGGCGGTCGTGTCAGATCAAATCAAAATGATTCACGCGCTACTGAAGATGGTCAAGAGGTATGACTCGCGGGTTATGATTTTTCTCTTTTCCCACATAAACTTATTCTGGAAGTGTTTTTGTATCAACAAATGGATAACATTGGGGAAGCCGGTTATGATCGCAATTTTATCTCTGCAAATGTAGATATCAGATCCTGAAAACACGATGGCAGCAAAGCGTTTGTAGAGTCTGATAACTAACTCGTTTTCTGCGTGCTGCCTGCAACGCTCGAAGCATTGTCGCTACTTTTCAATCATCCTTTCCTTCAAACAGTTAAATTTTTTGTACGTCTGTTTTTCTCCCGCATCTACTCTCCAGTTATTTGCTAAGCACATTCAAGTAGTGATCTCATTGAGTAATCGCTGTTTACATTCCTTCTCGGTAAAACACCCTGTTTCTCCGAACGGCTTTCTCCAATTATCAGGGGGACTCGGCAATAAACTCAGCAATTCTGCTGCTCAGCTCTGTACCCTCCCATAGCCTTCACTTTTTTGCTGAAAGCTTTTAAAACTGTTTTGCCTTATCAAATTGTACCCCCGTACGACTCACATTACCCCTTCCTTTCTGCCTGTACATCAGATTTATCCGCACTGGGTACTGTTGTCCATGTAAGCTGTTCCGTTGCATCCGTCTAGTACAAGGGTGCAGATACTTCATTTCACTTTTCTTGACTAGACAAACTCCTTTCGTTCTCTTGCTCGAGGAATACTTATTCATCATTGCCTTTTCGAACGTCTCAATACCAGAAATTTTTAATGTTTCGATCGGCTTTTGTCATCAAACCAAATTTACTTCATTTAATGACAGTCCTTTTCTGTAGACTTTCTTGCCTAATGGTGCCATTCTGTCCTCATCGGTTTTTCTTTGTAAAATCAGAATCCTCACGTTCACCGAAATTTCATTGTCTACAAGTATGCTAATGATATAAGGACTGGTTGCCCTTCTCTTGGTCGAGTTCCTTTCCTTCACGCCATCTTTAATGAACTTGACTATTCGTCTTTCCCCACCACCTAGTGGGTTAATGTCCCCCCTATTCTCAAAAGCTTGATGTGGAAAGCTTATCTCATGTGTATACACAAAGAGAAATCGATCCTCTCAAAGGCCACAAACGAATTTTCTCGATTTGCTAATATGCGAATCGCTCACGGTCGCATTCTCCTTTGGCTATCCAGCTCCCAAATAACTAGGACGCGTGAGATTTAAGCTGGTTTTTAATTGCGTCCATCCTGAAAAATGTAGAAGCGTACTGGTTTTCCCTTGAGCGTATCGTATTCATCTTCCTTGATCTTCAAGAATATTTTAGATCCAGTCAGTTGCACTTCTGGTGCAACTTCACTGAAGGACGTGCTGGAAAACTCGTTCGTTCATTACATCAGGAAACCGACTCCCGGCTTACATTCGTGTGTGCTTTCTTCACAGTTTCCTCTAATCCTCCATCCCACGCTCCAAGCTGTGGCGAATATAATCTTACTCGGTTACTTTATTATCGCGCGTAAGTACTAATTTGAGAGCGGAAGTGACTAGTATAAAAACCTTATTCAGTGAACCCAACCAAATTTCCTATTTCGGGCTTCCTGACTTGAGTTCATACTAGTCTCCAATCTGTACTGGAGACCTTGGGCGACATGGATATGCATGGCGTTCCGGTATCTCTTCACATCTTGCGCTTCATGAGTGTCCGATCCGATAAAATCTCGTTTCATCCTCTTAAATGGGCTCTCATAAACATAAACCATCATCTGCGCAGAATAGTGATCGAATAAATTGAAATGTAGCTTGTCTTGCTTGGTTCGTTGTAAGTTTTCATGGTTAAATCTATACTGGTGCATCAAGCCCCCATCGAGTGATATTAAAAGATGACCGACATGCTAAATAATTGATGTGATAGCCCTTGAAATATGTTAGTAAAATAAGCAGAAAATAAGTGACAACCTTTTTTGGAAGGTGTTTTGCGCACCGCGTGCTTCAGAGCTCCTATTCATTACGATTGGGTCGATAGCAAACGGATGCAATATCATTGTGTAAGTTACTTATCGAATTGCATACTTTTCGTGTCTAGATCACTCCAAGCCCCAAGCGTTTTCCTTTCGAATTCCCCTCAACAAAGACATTTAAACAAGAGCTATTTTAATCGACTCATTAGATGTAGATCTCATCGAATGCAACATTGAGCCGTTTTACTTATTGCATTCGTTTCTTAATATCATCTAGGATCATTTGAGTGTTGTTTGATCGATGTTAAACGGTACACTTTCATTTCATCACCGTCTAACTCCTCGAAACGACTATTCCAACATTCGAACTGTTTAGCAGTCTGACAACCCAAAATCGATCTTCGGCATTGGTGTAGAGACTTATTTGGTTTGCGGTGGATCACCATCATTCCCATGTTGCTGAGGTAACGATTGTTATTCGAGTTTATTCAAACATAGCTAACACAGCGTTCATCACCACCATTGTTTTCGTTCCATGATTTGTATACAAGTTGCATTCCAGCCTATTCACTCCCTGGTTGTTTGTTGTCATTTTGCACTACTCCCTCCCAGAACGATTCTCCCAAAACAAATGGTGCTGCTACGGACGGCGAAGGTCGATCTGCTAACGAAGGTGGTGCGCAAGGCGATTCGCCAAATCGTGCAGTCCCTCGCCAGCGACGTCGTCCACAGCGTCGAGGAGTTCGTCATCGTAGCGCACCAACAGAAGGCGAAACTACTGCTGGCGAATCACAAGGTGATGGTGGGGAGACTTCGGGCGAAGCACAAGGTCATGTGCACCCTCGGGATTTGCGAAATCAAGGGCGGCCTTTCAGACGTCCCTTCCGTGTTCGAGGCGGGAGTTTCCGTTATGTAAATGGATACTCAAATGTTTCTGGTAAATATGGTGAGCAGAATGACTCTGCCGGTCACGGCCCGCGCCAGAATCAGTTCAACGGGAGGAACGGGTATGATCGAAATGGTGGAATGCCGCGTCGACGTACGTCCTGGTCTTTCCATCTTCAAATAATCATTACCACTACCATAGAGGNCCATAGAGGACGAAAAACCGTGAAATGTACCTTAATCCTGAACCAGTTTTTCATGGTTTTAGGTGAACAATAATGACGGCTAGCGATAAATATGGTCATGTACACCAGGATCCAGCACTAGCGTAGGTTCTCGACAAGTTAAGTGCTTTCTGTTTCTTGCTGGTTCTTACGATGATTTGAAAAACGTGCCAGTGACCATACGTGTTCAAAACAATAAAACCTCTCAAATGTTCCATGTCGTCCCGTCTGCGCTTAAGCATCGAGGTTCAGTGTTGGACATGGAGTTGATGAAATTCCTTGGCTCAATATGGGAGAGGGAACAGGTTGCAGCTGTGTGGTGTTACCGGTCATCTTATCGATTTACAAGACAGGTGATATGTCCTATTATGAAAGCAATAGAGGAATTAGCCTAATCAAAATTACCTCTAAACGTCTCCGTCGATCATCTGCCGCACATGAACGGGGCATGCGTGAGAACCAGGTTGGACTTAGACCAGGTCGAGATTGTATAAACCACGTCTTCGCTCTTCGCTGAATACTGGAACACCAAAGTTACTTTCGTAGACCCACCATCTCTGTCTTCTTCGATCTGAAAACGGCCCTCCACTCAGTGGAGCATTCTAAACTCTGGTGCAGCTTCTTTTTGAAGGATGTGCCTAAAAGTTCTATTTGATTTTACGATGTCTTTTTAATTCAATAGCCAAAGTCGAATCCGAGCACTTTTTTTGCCCGAGTTCACTGCAGAAAGTCTTGTTCGTCAGGGTTGCCGTTTCTCTCCTTTTCTGTGTAACTTCATTGTAGATTTGATTATAGAAACAGCCCTATCCTCATGCGAGGATAGTGGCATCGATTTGCTTCCAAGTGGCAAATTGTCTGATCTAGAGTATGCAGACGACATGGTGCTGCTAAATAAAGATCCAGGCAAGTTGCAAGCTTTTTTGGATAGCTTGAATGCCAGCGTAGGCATGTTCGATATGTGTTCTGCAACTTTAAATTGTGAACTGTTGCTACTCACTAACTGTATTGTGTTGTATTTCACGCGTCTGAATCCAAAGTACGTGACAAACAAATCATAATACAATAGTCTTTGTAAGAAAGAGAAAGTTCC